GGGGCATTCGAAAGATGGTGTTATCGGCGTATGCTGAAGATTGCATGGACTGACAAGGTTACAAATGTAGAACTGCGACGCAGAATTCAGAAGGACGAAGAGGTGATTAACACCCTTAAAAAGAGAAAACTTGAGAACTTTGGACACATAATGAGAGGACCTTAATATGCCCTGCTGCAGAACATAATAGAAGGAAAGATAAAGGGCAGAAGGAGCCAAGGAAGAAGAAGAACATCATGGCTCAAGAATTTGAGAGAATGGTTTGGAATGACTTCAAACCAGTTATTCAGAGCAGCCGTTAACAAAGTTAGAATTGCCATGATGATTTCCAACCTCCATTAGGAGATGGAACCCGAAGAAGAAGATGAATAACTATAACTAATAATAGCTAATTTTTTTTTGTAATAATTCATATTATCAATAAAATCGTTATTTAAAAACAATATAACAATATTTCTTCAAATATACTACATGCCCGTCGTGTATATCCTCATTTTGATCTACGTATATTTTTAGACCAAACGCCATTTTGTAACAAATAACTCCGGATTTATTAAACTTTCAGATTTACCTTTGTTGCTCTTCATGGTTTTGCTATTAAGTTATTATTAGTTTTAAAGTATATTATGCTGTCAGAAACTTTTGCCTAAAGTTTAGAAATACGTTTATAATCGTTTTGCCAGTCTGAAAAAGAAGTTTTTGAAGTTTTTTGATGCAAATGCAGTGTTTAGAGAGAGTTTTCAGAGTTTCACAAAAGTTCACTTTCACAAAATTTTCAATATTTTTACTAAACATGTGGAGTGCTCATAAATTGTCACTGGGTATTTGTAAGCCGTTACCACTTTCCTTCAGGAATCTAGACAAGAGTACTTAATTGATTCACCAAGAAACATCGACGTACAGGGAGAAGTAGTTGAAATATCGGAAGAAACAATAAGAATGGCTGCCAAGAACTTAAAATCAGGTAAAGCAAGCGGCTCAGAAGGAATATACTCCGAAATGTTGAAAAATGGTACGCAGAAACTATTTAGAAGCTTGGCATTAATTTTGAATAGTTGCTTAAACGGACATCCCGTTCCAGAAAAGTGGAGGCTGGCTTATATATCTTCGATCCATCAAAAAGACAATAAGCTAGACTGCAGTAGCTACCGTGATATATCAGTGACGAACACAATGAGCAGGTTATATGGTAGAATTTTACGTGATCTCATAGAAGAAGATTATAGAGAAAAGGAGGAAGAAGAACAGAATGGTTTTAGAGCAGGAAGGTCGTGTACAGATAACGTGTTCTGTTTAAAACAAGTTATAGAAGAAAGATCGGCAAGAAACTTGGACACACATATAACATTTGTTGACTTACGAAAAGCGTACAACACTGTCCCAATATCAAGACTATGGAGGGTACTAGAACAATCTACGATCAACCATACTTATATAACAGCTCTTAAGGAACTATTTAAGGACGCAAAATCAAAAATAAAGGTAGGAAAAGAGCTTACAGAAACATTTACAACCGACAAAGGCTTGCGTCAAGGGTGTTGCATCTCCCCTACTCTCTTTAAAACATACGTTGCAGTCGCTTTAAAAAATTGGAAAAGAAAGATCAGTGGTATGGGCATAGAGATTGACAATGAATGTTTGTTCACACTTCAATTCGCAGACGATCAAATAATAGTTGCCAATGACAATGAGGATATGCAATATATGCTAAGAAAACTTATTGAAGAATACGGACAGTAGGGCTTGACAGTTAACATAACCAAAACAAAATATCTATGTATAGGCGCACAAGAAGGAAATTTGAACTTGGACAACGGTCACGAAGTTAATCAGTGTCAAGAGGATTATCAACGCGAAAAAAATAATCGGATGTCTAAATGGAATCTTATGGAGCAAATCAATAACAAAGCGAAGAAAATGCAATGTATTTGAAACCATGATAAAGAGCAACCTCCTGTATGGAGTAGAAACATGGAGAATAACTAAGAGATACAAGAAGAGGATAGAGGCCGTATAAATGGATGTCATTCGAAGATCAATGGGAATTTCAAGACAACAACGAATAAGAAATAATACCATAAAACAACAAATATATGGGTATAGAAGGCACGATAACACAGAATATAGAGAAAAAGCAGCTGATCTGGTACGGACATGTAGAGCGGATGAAGGACACTAGATGGCCCAAGAAAATAATCAATTCGCAACCAAAGGGCAGAAGAAAACAGGGAAGACCGAAACTGAAATGGCAAAAAGCGTACACAAAGCGATGAGTGAAAGAAACCTGTCAACAGATGATTGTACGAATAGAACAGACTGGAAATTGGGTATCGGACAACGTAGAAAAACGTTCTAAACCGACTAATATACAGGATGATTCCTGTAAGTTGGTCATCCTTTCGGGGAATGACGGAGGACGTCGAAATATTAATTTTGAGATAGCACACTATGGGTTGGAAATGCCTCTTACGCAAGATACAGGGAGTTAAATTTTTTGAAAAATTAAAGATATATTCTTTAATAGTTTTTTAAGAGTTGAAGGTATCGTTATAAAATTTTATTATAGGAGTCTACCTAACGGAGACATTTTAATTGTAAAAAGAAGAGGTTTTAGTTTCAATCAGTGGCGTAGATGTGATACCCATCAAGTAATTTTTTCAAAAAAGAATAGTACGCCACTGATAAAAATAAAAATTTCGTAGTTTTTTTATTTACTTGGTGTATTTCCAAGAAAAAATATCTCTTGCAACTTTCTCTTATCTAACACCATTTTGTCACAATTTAAAAATAAATAATTTCTTTAAAGCGAACCTTAAATATCCGAATTATTATAACTACCTTAAAACTAAGAATTTTATTATTAAGAATTAAAAAAAAATTATAGTTTAAATTTATAATTTTTTAAAAATTTATTTAAGGAGCTAAACCTTGGTCTATTTGGCTCTCGTCTACCAATCTCAAAGTGTGGGTTCGAATCCCACTCGACTCGTCGACTCAGCCTTAAATGAGTACTTGGGATTCACAATCCTGAGATAATAATAGGCGGTTGAAGCGTAGTACTAGCCAAAACCTTCCTTGTATACCGAACCGGTCTAGCATGGCAAGCTGTACCTTGCTACTCCCAAGGCGTCAAACGCTATATACGGGAGCTATTATTATTATATGTATAAGTGATGAAGGGAGCTGACGATTTAGAATTTTTTAGAATTTAGAATGAGTGGGAGGGGGGTTAATCACTTCGACCTTACAGATCCATTGTGTCCCCCTTTCTTGAATCATAATTCATCATACAGTCCCAGGGCTTTGACAAAAGCCAGTATCTGGGACGGTTTTATAGAGGGTAGTTCTCCATCTCCAATATCAGTCGTACCAAAATTCATGGCACGAATGGTTGTCGTCTCGGCGCACTCAGTGATGAGGTGTACTGGTGTTTCACCATCTTCCCAGAAGAATCTGCATTCGCCGTTTCTTCTTAGTTTCAATCTACTGAGGTGTTCATTGAGGAGACAGTGTCCTGTTAAAAACCCCGTGACAATCCGAAGATTGTTCTTACTCAGACCCAGGAAGATCTGTGATTTTTCTTGATCATAAGCCCTCAGAAACTTCTTCGAGTGTCCTAGACCATTGCAAGATTTCCATTCCAGGTTGCGGATGGAATCTTCCAAGTTCTTGAGTTCCGCCTTGAGTTGGTTACCACTTGGAATTAGTTAGTGGAGTGTTCGCTCCTTTCCTAGCTAGATTATTTGCTTTTTCATTGCCTTCTATCCCTTGGTGAGCAGGCACCCAGTGTAGGAGGACTTTGTTTTCTTTGCCTAATTTATTCAGCTTCTCTATGCATTCTTTGACCAATTTCGAATTGATTGATACTGAGTTGATCGCCTTTAACGCTGCTTGACTATCAGATAAGATGGCTATTTCTTATTTCCGATAGTTCCTATCTAAGATAAGTTGTACGCATCTCTCGATAGCGTAGATTTCTGCCTGTAGGATACTAGGGTAAGTGCCCATTGGTTCGGAGTAATTAGCTCTCGGCCCAATCACTCCGATCCCTGTTCCCGTATTGGTTTTGGAAGCATCAGTATACCAAGTTATGGTATGATCTTTTAACTGCTGGGCAAGCGTTTCGCTCTTCCAATCCTTCTTATTGCTCAATACTACATTGACATGTTTGTCAAAGTTGTACGTTCTTGGCATATCGTCCACTGGGAGTTGCAGGAGTGGTATTTCCTTTTTGAGGGTGTTCCAAGCCCCTGATCTGACAATTCTCCCAGTACTAATTCCGTTAGTGACCATTCTAATCATTGTCGCATTGGCATATCTACCAATGACAATGTGCAGTGGTGTTAGATGGAATGGTGTTAGAGCTGACGATGCACATGTGTTTCTGCCCTCTAGTTATAATAATTCGCTATATTTAAGATTCTCATTAAAAAATGAATTTATTTTGAAATTGTGACAAAATGGTGTTAGATAGGAGAAAGTTGCAAGAGACATTTTTGCTTGGAAATAAACCGAGTAAATAAAAAAACTCTAAAAATTTTATTTTTTATCAGTGGCGTTGGTTTTTATGTAATTTGACAAATAAATAAAGCTGTCTCTTTGGTTGTCAGAGTTTTGAATCAATATTTTTTAATTCTCTTTCGTGTCGCTGCTGATTGAATTGGAGCCAAAAATGGCTCAAAACGAAATAAGTAAATTACCAACAGATATTCAGGCTGAGGCGACAAACGCCATATCCAAACTACTTCCATTTAAATCCCGAATAACTTATGAAAAGGAATACAAAAATTTTCAAAAATGGAAGCAATTAAAAAACGTGCGAGAAGAAAATTTTTTAACCTATCCTCGCTCTTAAAGTATCATTTAATCTACCCTTGAGTACTATTTTATCTACTATTTTTGATAGATATAAGGCAATTTTAACAGTTGCTAAAATAAATATATTATAAAAATATAAATTATTAAAATTATCTACATTACTCTTTTTTTATTGATTTCAGATGATAAAAATGATGATTACTGTGGTATTCGTCTTCACTCTCTGCTGGTTGCCATACAACATGTTCATGGTAAGTTTAATTACAGTTTTCTATTATTTTTTCTCTATTACTCCACATAAATTTTCAATTTGGAATATCTAAACTGAAAAAATAAATTTTCTATAAAAGCACAATTTAGCGAAGAACTATAAAAACGATTTTATATTTTTTAATTACATTTTTCTATTATTTTTTCTCTATTACTCCGCAAAATTTTCAATTTGGAATATATAACTTGAAAAATAAATTTTCTATTAAAAGCACAATTTAGCGAAGAACTATAAAAACGATTTGATATTATTTTAGTATCAAAGTTAAAGCTCTTTTTTTAAATACATAACTGGAAAATTGGCTATCCTACAAATAACAGAAAACTCTTTTCAAACTGTTTGTTTATTCAAAGAGCCGAAAAATCAACATTATTTATTCTTTATTCAAACAAATAACAAAAAATATTTAACTTCAGCTAGCCCAATCCTCGTTCTAAAGATATCTTATAAATATATAGGAGTATCCAGAGCCTACTATAATCGAATCGTCAGAAAAAACAAATAGCTTTAACTTTCCAAAAGATTATTTTTCGTTTAAAGGCTCGACAGAAAAAGGAATCTGTAAAATTTAAGGCTGTGCGATGTGTTTTTTCCTTTTAGTTTCTTCTTCTCAATTGTGACCACGGAAAATTTTGGGATACCTACGTCAATAAAATATGTTTTTATCTATATTTTTACCTTTAAAGAAAAAATATAAATTTCATAAAAAACAGCGTTTTTTAAGCGTTTGTACGTTAGTGTATCAGGTGTCCTGAATTGCGTATAGATATATAACTTCACGAATATATTGTGTCACTTAAAAAAAAACGAAATGTAAGCTTTCTTCAAAAGCTCATTAGAACGAAAAGTAAATTTAACCAATTAGGGTAAAATAAAAAAGTATCTTGAACAAGTAAAAATTTACCCTCTCATAAATAAAGCTTGTAGATCAATTTCTATTAAAATTACAGACCAAAAAACGTCATTTTTGAAACAATATTAAAAAAAATATGACAATAAAGTAAAAAAGTACCCCATCCAGCTCTCTGGATGATAAAAAAATATCTTCAAATATTCAATTATAAGCTTTATCGTCTACCATTTCCATTAAATGAGGTAAAAAAAAACCTTCTCATAAATAAAGATTATTTGTGCCGTACTAAAAGGCTCAACGATATAAAGGGTTATAAATGTGTACATCAACCTCAGTGAAAAACTGGGAATAATTAAACAGGGTAGAATGACTAACTAGCAATAAATAAAATATAACAATTGGTAAACAAAACGTGTATTTGCGTTCTAAATTGGGTTTATACATTACTTTTAATAAGTGATGAAAATTATATGAATTCACTTTTATATATTTCTTTATAGCTCTAGTTGTATGTCACGCTATGATTTTATACATGCCCTGGTTAATTTTTAAGAGCGAAATATGAACTTTCCACCAGCAATTTGCAATTTTCTTCAACTATCATTACTTGTTGTCATGTTGTTATTTTTTAATATCACGAGGTGGCTTTGATGACTGTTGTCGTAATACCACAGATTATACAGATTATAAACTTATAGTCAAAAGTATTGTTTTTCGTGGTTCCAATTTTCCGAGTCGCGCACTAGTTTGCGCACATACTTATGGCCTCTAAAGATATTAGCAAGATTATAATAAATACCAAAATATTAGCTCTTAGTTACCTTATTTTTACAACACGGTATCAGTAGCCGTCTTAGTTATGCCCATTCTAACAAAAAAAGAAGATAGAAACAGTTAGTTTATTTTAAAATCGACGAAATACCAGAATACCATAATACCAGAGGTATTAATATCTAATAATTAAGATATTAATAACAGTGAACAAGAAACGATGATTCAGTGAAGTCGTGGTAGGCTTTGGCAAAAAGTTGCTTTTGACGTAATAGTATAAACGTCGAATTGTTATTAGTTCAACGTTTTGATAGTCTTATCAGCGTTTTTTTATCTTTTGATAGCTTTTTCAAAATGCCAACAACTTCAACTATTTCAAATAATAAAGGCATTTTGAAAAAGCAGTTAAAAGATAAAAAACGCTTATAAGACTATCAAAATGTTGATCTAATAACAATTTGACGTTTATACTATTACGTCAAAAGCAACTGTTTCCAAAGCCTACCATGACTTCACTGAATCATCGTTTCTTGTTCACTGTTATTAATATCTTAATTATTAGATATTAATACCTCTGGTATTATGGTATTCTGGTATTTCGTCGATTTTAAAATAAACTAATTGTTTCTATCTTATTTTTTTGTTAGAATGGGCATAATTAAGATGGCTACTGATACCGTGTTGTAAAAATAAGGTAATTAAGGGCTTATTTTTTTGGTATTTATTATAATTTTGCTAATATCTTCGGTTTGAAATAAGATATCAAGATGCGGTTTTCGCTGACTTTTTAAACTTTTACCACTCTTTACTATCAGCTAAAACTACATATCTATTGCATTTAATTTTTTTGAAAAAACGCGCAATGTTTGTTAAATTGTAAGACAACGCCCCCTAGCGTCTACGTTATAAAGCTTATTATTATTGTTTATACGGTAAAATATAGAGTAAGAAACGCTCTTTTAAACAAGCCCTCGCTTGTTGGATTCCGATCATCCAGTCCAGAGTTATTAATATTTAAATAAAAACAGATCTAACCTTCCCCCACCACTTTATTTTTGTAGATAGGGGAAAATGGCTCTAAAAGAAAATATTCAAAATTTACTGAAGATTATGAAGCTATTACTTATAGTACACCTTATCTAGGCAAAATTGTGTAAAAACTCCATTTTCATATTTTTTTGTTGCAGTTGCGTCACCTAGCGGTCGTTCTACAAACTTGAAAATAATTTCCAGCAATTTCTCATAACCCCCTTAGTTATAAATATTTTTTTCCGTAGGCCCTACGGCTAATACTTTCCGAGATACAGTCAAGAGCTATTCTTAGTGGGACACCCGGTACAAACAAGCAAAAACCTTGTAAAAAACTGTCTCCCCCTCACTGTCTGTAGATGTCAGTTCAATGACATCCGATGAGGCTGCAAATATAATTTTGTTAATTTTTCTGATTCTTCTTCAAGGAACAAGAGAAAATTCATAATTTCGACCAAGATCAATAACTTTTGGACAATCTTCGACACTAAGGCCCATATTCAATCGTACACAACAATAGTCACCAAAGTCACCTCGTCATTATGAAGAATAACATCAAAAAGTAACGATAACTGAAAAGATTGCAAAATGTTTGTGGCAAGTTCATTTAGCTCTAAAAAATTAACTAAGGCATGTGTTGACATGAGTCAAAAAACAAAATATTCAGGAGGCATGGTTCTGACCGAAAAATATTGTTTTAGAAAAAGTTGCTCACAAAATTAGTGTACAGGGTGTTTTAAAGATAGGGTTGTGTGTGAAGAGATATTTTAAACAACAATTCTTCGATTAACCCTGTATAATAAGTCAAATACTACAGTAAACTGAGTATACGAATTAAAGTTGATATATTTATATACAGTTTGCTTCAAAAATCAAGGAAAAAGGAGTGTATATGTTACGGCTACAGTGCAATAAAAATTAATTAATTAAAAACAGCTATTTTGCAAAAAGCGCTGTTATTTTGTTGGTTAGGTGTCAGTTTGTGGTGTTGGTTTTGCTATTTGTTTGCAAAATAGCTGGCTAGTTTTAAAGGCCTAAAATAAAAAAAAACACAACAAAAGAAAGACTATTTTTGTTTTCTTAACAAAAAAATAGCAAATCTTTATTTAGGAAAAGATCGAACTCCGATAGATTAATGTACGTTGTTTCTTTGTTTCTTTTGGAATTCTATCCAGTTTTTCTTTCCCAAACTTAATGGAATTTGAAGTAACTTAATTGATTTTTTTCTTTTTCTCAGCCTATACATGTCTTGCGTTTAAATCATCGTTATTAGTTTGGTTTTATCTACAGTCCTTTGAGGGATATTTTCGCTTTTGTATCGTAATACCTTATTGATATGTTCAGAGATTATTATAGAGATAAAAGATCGTTCTCAGTTATTATCTTTAATGAAGGTTCGTTTTTTTGAGAGGATTTTATTCTTTATAGAGACTTTCTGAAAGGATTGTGTTTTTATTAAGAGAGGTTTGAAGGTTGTTTAGCGTGATTTATCACAAATTTATATGCATAATGCTCTGTACTCGAAAGTAATATATTATATTACATTCAAAAAGACGAATATGTGCCAATATTTCAATATCGACTTCCAGGTTTCAAAAAGAGAAGAAATATATTCTATTAATAATAATAACAATACAATACTTATAAAAATAAGGCACTATCTACTGAAACAATTATTCTAAGAAAACGTTAATGACAGTATTAATGAGAAATGCCTACTATTGAAAGAGCAAAAGTCAAATCTTGTCTTATACATTCAAAAAACATAATTTTCTCATTAAATATCGATTTTAGGTACGGAAAGTGCTTAATAAAACTGTTTGTTCAACTTGTTCAGTTATGATACAAAATACACGGGTGTTTCACTTAATACAATATATAGTTTTGACTCGCCCTGTATATATCAAACAAAATTGCAAATTTTGGTAGACCGAATTTTGAAGAAGACACTATTATACAATACTTACCTTTAAAATATTTTAAAATTCTTTGAATTTAGAATTTTAAGAGGGCTTTAAATAAACAGTAAATTTAGTATAAAACTGTTATATTTCAAAAACCACTCGGTATAGTATATGACGTTATGGTATTTTTGGAACGGAAATTGAGTAAAAACTCCAGTGAGCTAAATAATATAAATATAGTATTCCATTTAAAAGTATACAACTTTGGTTTGAAAATGTGTTTGAATCATCCTGTATGTTGACAAAAATATTTTCAAAATGTGCATTACCATCATTGCCCTCATATTATGTAAAAAACTGAAATGGAGTTCGCATTGACCTCGCCAAAATGATCATCAATTTTCATTCCCCAGCCGTTTTTTTTTCGATTTTACCGCGATAGTTTTGTTAAAATGCTTCTATAGTCTTGTTAATTAATGTGTGGGTATTAATTTAAATATTAAAAAAATTATACCACACAGAAAAAAAATGATTTTTTTTCCCAGATATTTACTAAATTATTTTTTATATTTCCAATTTATTCCTGTCGAGCTTTTAAAAAGAAAATTAAATTAATTCCGGATCGAATAACAGGATGAAGCCCTCTTCAAGCTACAAAAACTGAGGCGAACGACAAAAAAAACGGAACGTAAAATGTGTTCGATTTTTCCTGCGACGGTACTAAAGATAATATAATGGTCGAAAATTGATTGGAATTTTGTATTGAATCACCCCGGATTAACCGGTATCAACTCAACTGATACCAAACAGCCATATTCAATTTGGTAAAGTGGCTTTTTCCGTGCGAGATCAACGCTTCAAAAATCCCACGGTCCAATGTAATCTGGATAATTTTGAAAATATACTCGTATTTTTTCGGTGATATGTTTGCTTATATTCAAAACATTTCATTAACAATACGTACATTACAATACAAAAAAATGTTAGTGTCTTCTTCAAAAACGAATATCTCCAAAAAAAATAAAGCTATTTAGATGAATCAAAAAAACAAACTATCGAGAAAAGATACATCTAGATGATAAAATGATTTTTAAATTCCTTGCTTTGTTAACGTACTCCACAGGGTGTTTCAAACTTTCACCAAAACATCAACATTATGTTTTCCCTCGTATAATTGACAGATGGCAACTTTCATTTTTAATTTAGAAAGAGACACTAGAAAGTCGAATAATTTTGCTACAAATTACTTAAAAAATCATCAAAATCGGTCCATTATACATACAACACAATAAATAAATTTTTAAAATACATGAAAATTTAAAGGTGCCCGTTTTTCGTGCCAGTGAGTGTAATAAGAGAAAGAGATATATTTAGCAGCAGTGGCGTACCAAGGCGGGGGCGGTGTGGGCAGGCCGCCCCGGGCGGCTACCCTCCAAGTACCTGCGGGGCGACCTCCTAGAGGCTCTCCGCCCCGGGCGCTCCTAACCCACGCTACGCCACTGTTTAGCAGAAGTCTGAACTTGATAAAAATGTCACAATATGTTAAGAGGATTTGCATATTAAAATGCCGCTGTGGTTCGGAATCCAAATTAAAAGACTATTCGTTTCCAGATTACATATTCATATGGAAAATAATATTTAAATTACAATTATGTAAATTGTCATCGTTCATTGTTCGTTTTGTAATACGGAGCACGACATTTGCGAATTAGATTATCGTCTAAGAATACAAAAAAGAAGATAAATCTAAATATATATTTCCTCTCTAAAAATAGACCTGATTTGGACATTATTATTAACTATTAAAATAAGTACTTTATTATTTCGAATCATGTTTTAATTTTTTTTCACATAAATAATTTCGATTCCTATGTTTCCAACGACGACGCATCATCCTGTATATATTTATTATTTACTACCTACACAATATTATTTAATCCATTGTGGATGTTTTTCCATTTTTTCCCTTTATCCCTTTATGCATTGAAAATTGTTTTACACATATATATTTTAAAACCCCAGCTTTACATTTCCACAAACCGAATAATAATACCGACAAACTCGTTATAATGAAGGCATTCATGTGAGATAAATGGATGAATCGTTTTTGATTTAAAAATACAGAGGGTACTCTATCGACATATAAATACATACGTATATGTATGCCAAATAAATTATTTTATTAGAATAAACTGTTACTTTTTAAACTTACAATGTTTCACTTAAAACGAGCACTAATTGATAAAAAAGTTAAAAGTGTTTATATTTAAGCTATATTAATTTTTGTTTTGATTTTTGCTTTAATTATCTATATTTAATTTATTCCAAAACTGCCATGCCAACATTGGAAAAAACATTAGTAAATTTTACACTGCTTTTGTAATTTTGTGTTTTTTATGTAAATTTTAAATTTGCACTTTTTCTGTAAGTTTACACGTTTTATGTAAACTTTAAATTTGCAATTTTTCTGTCAATTTACATTTTTCTGTAAATTTGCACTTTTTTGTAAAATTTAAATTTTGAAGTTTTGCTGTAGATTTACGCGTTTTGTCTAAATTTTAAATTTGCACTTTTTCTGTAAACTTACACGTTTTCTGAAAATTTTAAGCTTGCAAGTTTTCTGTAAATTTGCTCGTGTTAGGTAAATCTTAAATTTGCACTTTTTCTGTAAGTTTACATTTTTCTGTAAATTTACACTTCTTTTGTAAAATACAAATGTTGCAGTTTTTTGTAAATGTCAAATTTTTCTGTAGATTTACACGTTTTATGTAAAATTTTAATTTACACTTTTTCTGTAAATTTTATATTTGCACTCTTCGTGTAAATTTACACGTTTTCTGTCAATATTATCCTTGCAATTTTTCGAAAATTTGCACGTTTTATGTAAAAGTAAATTTGCACATTTCTGTAAATTTACATTTTCCTGTAAATTTACACTTTTTTTCAAAATCGAAATTTTGCAGTTTTTCTGTAAATTTTAAATTTTAAATTTTTCTGTATATTTACACGATTTCTGTAAATGTTTACATTTTCCTGTAAATTTACACTTTTTTTCAAAATCGAAATTTTGCAGTTTTTCTGTAAATTTTAAATTTTAAATTTTTCTGTATATTTACACGATTTCTGTAAATTTTAAAAACGCACCTTTTTGTAAATTTACGCTTTTTCTGTAAATTTGCATATTTCTGTAAATTTTAAATTTGCACTTTTTCTGTAAATTTACACGTCTTCTGTAAATTTTAAGCTTGGAATTTTTCTGTAAATTTGCACTTTTTAAAAAAAAATGTAAATATAAAATTTGCACATTTCTGTAAGTTTCCATTTTTCTGTAAATTTACACTTTTTTTAAAATTTATAATTTTCCAGTTTTTCTGTGATATATGATATACGTTTGTGTATACGTTTTACAATTGGGAGTTTTATAGACACCGAATTAGAATTTTTCAAAAAAGCATCCAGACACCAATATTTATCCAAATATTGATATAAATGAAACTTCTACAGCCTGTATCTCCGAAACGAAGCAATTTATTAGCAGAATATGCTGCCGAAGTTAACCCATTACGATTAGAACAACCCTATAATATGTATAACACTTAACATTCACAGAGGCCGTGTTGCACATAAATTTTATACCCAAGGTGGCTAACTTAGAGAGGTTAGCGTTTACAAGATGGCGCTTGTAACAGAAACACAAACAGGTTGCTTTAATCACCAGTTCGTTTATAATGCCTCCCTCCTCACTTTTTAGGGAGGAGGTAAATAAGGGGGTATAAGGGGAGTTTTGGCAGCGGTTCTGGTATACCTGCAATAAACGAGATAAAGTCACGTATATGCGTTGACGGCACGTTTTTAGTGTGTATTATGGTTTATTAAGTATCCTGGAATACACACAAACGATAAACGATATGGTTATCTTATATTATAATACTTCAATTTAGGTTTAATCCTTTAATTTTGTATACACGGTGACTCAAGAAATATTTTCTACAGTATTAAAAAATACAGGGTATCCCATTATTCCGTGGACATGGAACTACTATGTATTATTGGAACCAAAATAACTGAACCCTCCATATAGTTGCCAAGCTGTGGTTCTGTCTGATAAAATGTGTACATATCTTTGTTCTTCAAATTCCATCAACTTTAGATACCTATATTGAGCTTGCAATACTACTAGCAGATCCACCATTATGTATACTGCTGTTTCTATATACTCAATTCAAATATACTTTCTTAAATAATATTTACTAATCTATAATCATGATGTTTTTTTTTGTTTCATGAAGTTTCATCTTTTTTTTTCAGATTTTTCAAGAAGACATCTATTCGGATGTCAAACCGTACGTGTTCTTCGCTCTTCACGGTTTGGCAATGTCGCACGCCTGCTACAACCCTATCATCTACTGCTACATGAACAGCCGGTTTAGGGACGGACTATTCCATATCTGCAGAATGCTACCGTGCTGCAAGGGATGCTACATGCGAAAAAACCGAGGATCGTTGTCATCTACATTCCATAGACATGCCGGTAAGTATTTTTAAGATTTACTTACTGTTAAGTTACCTCTCCCAGGATAACAGTAATATACTTTACTTAAGTATAGCTACTACCCTCCTAGCTCAATATCTATATATATATAGATGTGCCACCATACATATCATCTCAGATATCTATACCCTAATATCCTTGTTTAAAGGCTAATATATAAAATCCTTAAGTGACTGACTCACTGATTATTCACGATCCTGCTCCAACCACTCAACGTAAGAAGCTCAATTTTGGCATACAGGTTGATTCTAGGGTGTAGAGGTTCGATAAGAAGGGATTTTTCAAAATTCCAGTTTCAAGGGGGTGAAACCACCCCTCAAATGTTATAATAATTTTTATTTAAAAAACGGTCATAATTTCCGGAAAAACGCCTCAACACGTATATTTTATTTTATTTTTTTACATATTTTAAGATTTTTAAGAATGTATACAGGGTGTTTTGAAAAATCTGGTCTTTGATTAAGCAGGACCCTGCTTAAAACGCTTGACGTAAAAAGCTGATTTTTGGAAAACGGATTAACTTTAGGGTGTAGAGGTTCGATAAGAAGGGATTTTTCGAAACTCGAATTCTAAGGGGTTGAAACCACCCCTCAAATATTAGAATATTTTTTAATTAAAAACCGGTGAGTTTTTCGGAAAAACTCTTAAACACGTATATTTTATTTTGTTGTTTTACATATTATACAGGGTGTTTCATAAAATATGACCATTTAGTAATCACGATTCTGCTTAAACTGCTTGACGTTTAAAACTGATTTTTGGCAAACGGATTGACTGTGGGGTGTACAGGTTCGATAAGGAGGGGTTTCTCGAATTTAAAATTCAAAGAGGGTGAAAACGCCCCCTCAAATATTACAATATTGGTTATTTAAAAAACATCACTAAAAAACTAGTGAACGGATTTTGATGAGGTTTTCAATGTTTAAAAGTTTAATATGGCGGTTAGGATATAGGCTATAATTTATATTGTTAAATTCTTAAGGAGTCAAAAGAAGGTGGTAGAGAGTATATAGGAATCTTTATTTTCTTTATCAAATTTACTTAAAATTTGTTACTGTTAGATACAATTAACGAAACAGGTGGTGGAAAGAAGTTTGGAAGGTACCTAGGCATTTTTTTCTTGCAATGAACCCTCGACAAAGAAATATACATTATTTATATATACATAATTTTTTAGAATTAAACTACAATAAACTGTTATAAAAATATTCTCAGTTTCATCTTAAAGGACGAAAAACTCTATAAAACCTTTTCTTAACAAACTAATTTACTATCATTCCCTGTACCCCGATGCTATATTATAAGAATAAGTACAGACGGCACTTCCAGGATAATGAAAAGTAATTTGCTTAAAAAAACAACCACCGTCTGACGTTCTACACCAGAATAAATTAAAAAAATATATAATGGGGGCAAAACCAAAAGGAATTCTCGAATGGAATTCCCGAGCTGGTTGAACAATGAACAGCTTGGCCGAAAAAGTCAGAGATAACCTTCGGTTTCCTGCGAGTTTTCGACGTTCCTTATCGCATTTTCCTTGATTTTCCCTAGAAAAACGCCGCGTTTAATAGCTTTTCTTTTTCGCATTAGTTGGTTTCTAATTTTTCCGTCGAGATCCTTTGGTTGGTTTTCGAAATATATATTTAGCACTTTATTAGTTTAGTAAAATAAAATTTATAAGTCTCTGGAGAGTAATTTTTGCGTAGCAAGAAGTATGTTATTAAAGAAATAAAAGCAGCTTGCCGTATGGAGACAAGAAAATAAAGATATACAGGGTGTCCCGGGCTGAGCGTGCATTAGAAGTTTCTAGAGAACCACAATATCTAGGTCGGAGATTTTTTGTACATTATTGTTTCACAACGAGATCTATCGATTAAAAATATTTTCAATATGGCGGCACTTCCGGAAATACCGGAAGTTAACAACAACTTTCTTATTTTAAATGGGTACTTAAATTTTTTATTACATACTTAAATTCTCCGTAAAATTTTATGAATTTTGATATCAAATACTCTATACCTAACGTTAACCGTTTTTGAGAAAAAAATATTTAAAATTGTTGGAGGAAAAAAACTGCCTGTCAAAAAAATGTGTATAGCCTAAACGTCAAATTTACTGATTACCACAGCCACTGGGCCATAGAGAGAAGACATGTGGCTATCTATTTCAAAAATTAAATTGTTCAAATGTCATATAATAATGGCGGTAGCTGTCATGGAATTGAGCAATTAAAAAATTATCATAAATCATTTTTTTCAAATAGAAACCCACTTTTTTTATTTCACTAGTGAAAAGGCTTTTCAATTTGTAACTTTTTGACTACAGTAGTCTATGACTTTAAACGTCAAGTGATGTAAAGCAATAGATCTGGCCATGTCATAATGTGACACTTTATTGAAAAAGCAGTATATTATCGATCATTTCCTAGCCAACTTTGCGCTGTTTTTTTCTCGATCATACATCATACGGTATATTATTAATAATATCAACTATTAGATATCATTAAAGAGCGAAAATACGATATATATTTTTATAAATACACTTTTTAAACTCTTAAGGCAGGCAGTATTTATAATATAGGAACTTCAAATAATTCGTTTTCTGACAGATGGAAATAAATTGTCTCACTGTTTGACACTTAATATCAAAGGAAGATAGATAAAATCAAGAAAAATATACGTTTTCAAACCAAATCTTAAATAACTTAAAAACGATTTATTTTAGGAATAGGAATATGCATACTCAAAAAGTAGATTTCCATTTGAAAAAAAAATGACGAGAATTTTCGAATCGCTCAATTCCATGACAGCTGTCGCCATTATTATATGACATTTGAACAATTTAATTTTTGAAATGTATTCTCTTTATGTCACAGTTGGCTGTGGTAATCACTAATTTTGACTTTTAGGCTATACAATTTTTTTTGACAGGTAGTTTTTTTCGTCCAAAAATTTTTAAATATTTTTTTCTCAAAAACGATTAATATTAGGTATAGAGTGTTTAATATCAAAATTCATAAAATTTTACAGAGAATTTAAGTATGTAATAAGAAATGGGGGCACCCATTTAAAATAAGAAAGTAGCTGTCAACTTCCAGTATTTCCGGAAGTGCCGCCATATTGAAAACATTTTTAATCGATAGATGCGAGACAATGATGTGCAAAAATTCTCCGATCTAGATATTGTATTCCTCTAGAAACTTCTAATGCACGCTCAGCCTGGGATACCCTGTATACCGGGTATAACAGTAGTAGGTATGGGGGCACTTGAGCCCAAGGTCAACCCCCATTTTCTCCCTAAATTTAGGGAATTTTTTCGTCCATAGCGACCCACCCTATGTAAATCTTATAACATGGGTTATATGTAATTTCCCTAAATCTTCTGATTTTTAGATTTGGCAACGTCGCATTTCATTATACATCCGGCAACGCTGTACGTAGTCGCCGACCGCCATCTAGCGCCTAACTCCGGAACTACCAAGCGCCACCTATCGGGTAGCTCAAAGAAGGTAACTGTAATTTGGGCTCCATTGTTCTTCATCGGTTTAAAGCTGTCTCAAAGGTATAGACCGTAGGTACAATTAAATAACGACTATGTCAAATATCCTAGCTATTATTTAATTGTACTCCCACGCCTTATACCTATTAACCACAGCGAACCAAGTGTAAGACTATACCAAAAATTGTATTACTTAACTAATTATGCATTAACAATGGTGTTTATTCAAAAAAAACATTAAAAACAAAACAGCTAGTAATTAAAACTATTATGATACGATTTCCTATAAAAAATAGAAGATTAATATTAAAAAAAAAAAAGTTTTCAAATTTAAATCCAGGGTAAACAACCGCTGGTCATCTGTCATCGACTTCGGCAAACATCGGTTATTTTCGTGTAACTTTAAAATATTTACACAACGGTCATATTGGGGTGTGGTCTTTCCTATACCATGTACCCTTATCCCAACAGAAAAAATATCACTTAAAATGAAAAATACGCTAATTAATAATAATTTTACTATGAATAAAAATTAAATTTAGCCCTTGAAACCATTAAAACTTATAGATGGAATAAAAATTAATAACTAAAATATGTTTTTCTATAAACACCCATATACCATCACGCTATAGGCCCATGTACAAATTTGCCGAAAAAATAGGTTTATTACCATAAAAACACACAGAGACCTTAAAAATACGGACCTACCTGAGTTTACAGTTATTATCCACATACTCCGTTAAACAGGCACTTAACACACGAAAATCACTCTTCGATATCACACAATTTTAAGCCCTTTTCACTAAACACACTCAAAATACACAGAAAATTTCTTGATTCCAAAACCGTTAGAAGTTAGAAATGAACTAAAAAGCGACCAAATGTATACGACCGGCGATTAAATTGGTTTTCTATACACGGAAGTTACCGATAAGACCGCTAACACGCTTTACCCAAACAGAAATATGTTTATAATTTATAGATACAGGGTGTTAATTGAAAAACAAAATACAAATTTTTAATATTTTATTTTAAAAGATGCAATACATTTACTTTTTGATATTTTGGCGCAGGTAATAAATACTATTATAGCAGATGATACAAACGTCATAATTATATACAAAAATAGAACTATATATGAAATCACTGTAGGTTCTTCCTTATCCTTTTTACACGTCTGATTTTCCATAGTTGAACTATCGTTAAAATTGATCGGTAACATCTGCCAATCAGATTGATCTCCAACACTTCTATTTGAAAAAGATTACCTTATTTTATATATTTTAGTTCGTCTTATTCCTAGTCTCTTCTTCCGATAATGGACGTTTGAAAACTTCCACCGATCCGTTATTGCTATATTCCAATCTCTGCCAAGCTTCTGGCCATTTACACTTCGTTGTTAGGAATCATATATTTTTAAACATACGAAAGCTTCAATAACATCTTTCGGTTTATTTATATAGAATGTATTTTGCACTATA